CCTCCTCTGTCTCCTAGCCGCAGCCTCTGCCGTTGGCAAGGAGGATGGCCTGATCCGGCAGGTGGTAGACGGCGTCACCGCCTCCGACGATGTTGACAACGATCTAACGCTTAACGCGGATGCTCACTTCTCCAGCTTCCTCCGAACCTACGGGAAGAACTACACCGACGCCGACGAGCATGTTCATCGATTCAAGATCTTTAAGGCTAATCTCCGGAGGGCGATGAGGCACCAGAAACTGGACCCTTCTGCTGTTCATGGAATAACGAAGTTCTCTGATCTCACGCCGGCGGAGTTCCGTCGGAAGTATCTTGGAGTCAGGCAGAACCGTCGCTTACTAGGGAGTATACATGAGGCTCCGATATTACCGACGAATGATCTCCCTACTGATTTTGACTGGAGGGATCAAGGTGCCGTCACTGGCGTGAAGGATCAGGTTTTTGTTTTTGAATAAGCCTTTTGTCAGGGGTGATCTATATGTTTTGAAACTGAGTTTGATTATCACGAATGAATTTTTAGGGGTCTTGTGGCTCTTGCTGGTCGTTTAGTGCGGCAGCAGCTGTGGAAGGGGCGAATTTTCTGGCAACTGGAAAATTAATTAGCCTTAGCGAGCAGCAAATGGTTGACTGCGATCATATGGTTCGTGATTAAAAACTTACCGATTCCCCTTTTTCTGGGTATATTCTTTCCTTTCTGTTTGTATTTTGATTGAAAATTTCATTCAGGAGCTTTTGATACAACATGTGATCAAAAGTCAAAGCATTTGATTATAAATGTATGGAAATACGATTTTGTTTCGAACAAATAATTTGACTGTCATTTTTAGTAAAAAAAAAGGGTGCGCCTTGCATTTCTACAAAATTATGTTATATTATAAATTTGATCGAAAGTTATGCTCTTTTTTTCTTTTAATCATTTGTGTTGAAAGCTCCTGACTTGTATTGTTTACATAATTGCTTGTTTTCGAAGGTGGTGAACTGACGAAGATTCATTGTTTTACGGCTGATTGGAATTCTCTCGGAATGAATCGGTTGATTTTATGTTTCTGCTTCCCATAGGGTTATGTTTTCAGGTCATATTTATGTTGACTATCTTTTTGATGCGGTCATTCACCGGGTTTCATAGGGGTGGTTTTGTTGGCAACAAAAGGAGTGCAGTGCATTTTTTTTGCAGGGTTTTTAATAATTTAAGCGTTTGGTTAGAAGAAAAATGTATGCAATGTAAAATTCTAATTATTTG